AAATTAATCAAATTTCCGAACTGTACAATCCTATTTGAAATAGGCTATTATATATTTTAAATTCATTATTTGAATTAATTTAAATGGACTAAAATTCACCAGATATATTGCATAATTGTTTCATAGATTTTATTCCTAGAAACAGTTGTGACTATGATATAGAAAATGCTTTTTACTGCCAAATATAAATAAATTAAATAATTTCCAGGAATAATAATTATTTTATAGATAACGATAAAGAAGAATTTTATGATACTATTCTTTTATTTAATATATAGCCTATAAATATCATTGCAAAAACAATATGTGCAGCTGCTTGAAAAGTCAAACTTTTGAAAAAAAAAAAAATTAATTTTTAGTCTAGAATATAGAATTGTTGAAGTATAGAAAAAGAAGCAGATAGCAGTGTTTATACGGAAACTTTTATATTACAAAATTTTAATGTATTTTTCGCCAATCATGACGTTTGGAACGTCAGTGGAATCGTGCTCGACGTTCCAAACTCCATTGTAAAACTTCTAGGATTACAGGAATGCGGCGCTGAACGTCCGACGTACACGTTTTCCCGATGTAAGCGTCGGCCGCAACCTCTCTAATAACACAGCCAGTGACGAGGTCTGAATTCTGCACGCCCATTTCTTCTGAAGTTATTTCTAGATTCTTTTCATGTATCTTTTGTATTATCTACCATATTTTTTGATTTATAGAAGAAATGTATTGATATATTATAGTAATCTATACTGCAGCAGGATGGCCGAGCGGTCAAGGTGGCAGCCCGCCGCTCTGGGGGGCCCGGAGCGGCGGGGTCGAATCCGAACGGGTCGAAAAACTCCAGGAATTTTTCGGTGGGTGGTCCGTTCGGATATGTCGGGCCCCGTCCCTCATCATCTGGCAGCCCCATTGTGGGCCTGGCCGAACCCATAATGGGCTTGCAAAAAAGAGGCCCTCTTACTGCGCACAGGGCGGAAAGAGTTAAAAAAAAGTAATCTATACTAATATTATAGAGGTAAAGTTTGTAAGTTTAGATTATGAGGTAATCTCCGAAACTACTCATCCGATTTCAAAAATTCTTTCACCAATATTTAGAATGGAACTTCGGGATGGACATAGTTTGTATTTTATTCCGTTAAACATTCATAGAAATTAAAAGATATCATCTAGGTTAAGGCTTTTATGTCCAACAGATGGCGCTAACTCCGCGAGTACGACGATCTATTGATAAGTTTGCTTTTCTGTGAGGCATTATGCTTTGCTGTGAGGATGAACTAAAGCAGATCATCATCTATCTATATAACTAAAAATGTAATGTTTGTTTGTTCCTACCGATTCCTTTGAAATTTTTGCACAACCTTGCATTCGAATACACACGTGTTTCTATATAATATGCATGTCGAAATTCCTCCCACTGGGAGGAGATGGACAGGATTAAAGCTTCCCGTGAAGAACTCTGTTTCTATTTATACTATTTTAGATGCGTTTTGATTGCGTTTCAATAGGGTACAATAGTCAACAGAATATACACTAAAAAGGAATTTTTCGAAAAATTCCCCCCACGAGGGAAGTGTTATACATTTATAATAGATACATTTTGAGCCACAATAACGCGTGGCGGGGTCTGCTAGTATATACATAAAAGTTTATAGCATCGTTCTGTAATTGGAGCTAATATACATTTTGAGAAATTGAAAATGTAAACATCGATGTATCGGTGTAAATTTAGTTCATTTTTTTGAAGGGAATTCCATGAACACAGACAAATATAAATAATAAACACAATTTTGATAAATAATTCTAATAATAATTTAATTTATTTAATAAATGCTTATTATTTTTATATAATAATATTAATTATTATTAATTGTTATTGATCCATTGACCAATGCTTGGAGAGAGTGGCGACAAATTTCAGTTTATCCAATTAAAGAACGCAGTTTACTTTTCTTTCTTGAGAAGTTTTCAGATAGTAACAATTCAAAAAATAAAACAGTCATTTTGAAGTTTCAAAAAAAGAAATTAATAAATTACAGTTAAAAAGAATAATAATTTTTCAAATAACAGAAAAAATTAGAGGCATTAAAATTATAATTATTTTTTTACAGATTAATTGTCTTATGTATAGTTTCAAAACTATCAATATTTAAAAGTGAACACGGACTTTATGAATACCCTGTATAATTATTACTAACTTTATTAGATTGTATATTCAAACAGGAAATTATATACACGAGTGAGACCATGTGCGTGTTATCAATAAAATTTTTTTATGTCATTATTCTTAGTGAAGGCAAAATATAAAATTTGGCTCTTTTATGATCGTAACAAATGGATCATCTTTACTATAATTGTACATAAATAATAATTCTATAGATTTATTGAAAGCTTGTTTTTAATGTTAATTAATAAATCTACATTAAAAGAAATTTATATTCGTCGTAAACTAGAATTATTTTCTTAACAAAATAATTATTAAAAATTTGTTAGTAGACTCAACTCTTTGCACTTCGGTTTTTAATTTTGTAATTCTGTATAATTTTAAAACGTTTTATAATAAAAAGTGATTATAAGTGAATTTGACGTTATTTCAACATTTTTATAATGCGAAAATATAGGCCTATAACTGAGACTGATTATCAAAAGGGATAAATGATGACTGATTTAAAGAAATTATTATTATTGATAGTTGTTGGTAAATAAATAGAACAGAGTTATTAGTTATTTAAAGGTAGTTTAAATATTAGGGTAAACTAAATTCGTACTTACTTCTTTCATAAAAATTTTTTGTTACTGTTTAAATAAACGAGAATTTAAAATTATTATCTTTAATATATAATTAAAAACGCCAATTTGCTATATACCTTACAATACATATTGAAATTTTTAACATTCTTTTCATTTGTTAAAATACAAATTTTCGTATTATGTTAATGTTTACGTAGGAGAGACCGGGGCAACTTCGGCATACGGGCAAGTTTGTCAAGCGCTTTTTTTAAAAACAAATTAAAAGGAGACTTTGGTTATAGGTTAGGCAGTTGAGTTTTATTGGTGGCTTGTTGAGTGTAGTGTTTTTATTGTTCTCCAACAAGCGTAGTTGAATTATCAAGCAAATTTTCATTTTCGTTCAATTCCATATAATATTTTTTTTCCATTTATATTGAATTGGCAGGTTTTGTTATAATTCCATGATAACGAAAGTTACTTTTCCTGTTAGAAGGATGTAACTTCAACTTATTCACGTGGCCAGATCGTGGCTTGGCATTCTGTTCTCAGGGTTGTACTTAATGTTTCGAAATCATGACTAGCGGGGTAAGATCGGCAACATAAAGCCACATTAGAAGCAAAGGATAAAAATCAAACAGATGATAAATGAAAACATGTTTGCATTTGTTATTCATGTATATATGTCTTTGAACTTGCATTTCGTTGTAATAATATTAAATGGGTGTTGGATTTGTATTTCTTTGTTTTAATAGTGAATTCCAACTTATACATTGTTAATAACATAATTTTATATACGTGCCTATCTTGCCCCATTACTGTTGCCCTTATACCAGGGGCAACTTTAATAAAAATAATTAAAATAATTACAACTTTACAAAAGAAGAGAAGTTGCCCCTATACCCGGGGCAACTTCGGCAATTTTTCTCTTCTTGTAAAGTTGTAATTATTTTAATTATTTTTATTTCAAAACTGATTTTAACCAGTTCTATAGTAAGAAAACATTTCAATAGATAATAAGCAAAGCTTTTTTTCAGTTTACAGCAGTATTTATTACACAAAATTTAAGTAAAGCTTAACATGCCGATCTTGCCCCGGTCTCCCCTATTAATAAATGAATTTTATTTCTAAATAATTAAAACTTAATAAAAAATAATATATATATATTTTCTTGAATTACTTTGTCAATTTTAAATAAAATACCGTAATTTTTGGTATATAAGATGCGAGTTTTATCCAAAAATAGGCTAAAAAATGGTCCTACGTGTTAAGTTGCAATCTTCCATAGACTAATGAATTGCCAAAAAGGGCTTTTAGTACGCTACAAGTAACCTCTGTCTGGCCCAACTGTTTAACATTAATGCTATTTTTTAACTAAATATATTAATTTTTGCTATATCTATGCAGGTTTTATGAATTAATTTTAAACATTTGAATAGCAAATTTTAATTGCAAATTATGACGTTTTTTAATTTACCCTTTCACTGATAAATAAAAAACGTACATAACTCTTAATGGGCTTGCAGTCGAAGTTCCTCTTTAGTGCCCACAAGGCGAAATGAGTAAGAAATAAATAAAAGTGTTTATTCTAGTTTTGTTTTTGTAACCAGAATACAGTAAAAAGAAAATTTTAAGCCGAAAAAGTGGGTTGGCTTAAATTCACATTGTTCTTTCTCCTCTTTAAATACTCTGTGCTAAAATGAAGGTTTGTCTTATATACAGGTTAATTAATAATAAAATATAGGTTAACTAATTAACCATTTTATATAATAATAAAACTTTTATCAGTTTTAAATAATGTGTCAGTTTCTTTTCTTACGGATATTTTTCTCAAATAGAAATGTTTCAGGAATGGCAATAATTATCTTCACTAAGAAATAAAAGCCTTTTTAGTACAATCTTTTCAATAAGTGTCAGCAGTATGTTATTAAAGCAGAATTGTTACATACTTTATTTCAATAGGCGTGTCTCTCCTATTTTAATACTTATTATAATATTACACTTTGATGAATTTTCAATTTTAACAAAGTTTATTTAATTATTAAGCAAATGTTTACTTGCCAATACGAATTGATAGATTTCTCAGCTGGCATATCGTACATTAAGTAAATAATAAAAGCATTTAGCTATAAATTTAATAGATATTTACTGCAATATCACTTTATTTCTTCAAATTAAATCATTTTTATTATCTGATATAGATTAATTGCCCATATGCGTTTTATGTATTCACTTTGTATAAATACAATTGAAAAAATTAAATCGAAGAAGTCATCTCCGAAGAATTCATACTTTATTATAAGACTCAAAATGAATTATTTTGTATTGATTTTTGTTGCAGCTCTATTAATGTTGGGTAAAAATTTACTCTATATTTATATGTATCCTATAGTAAAAATTTTTTATAGTATACTATACTATATTAAACTATAATTCTATATATTATATGATTTTATACTATATTTATTTAATATAAATAAATATAGCGTGCTAATATTAATTAATCAAAAGTTTGGTAGAAAGAGTCAGAAAAATGGTCACACAATTGATCACACCGTCTGCTGACACTATTTGATATATTTTACCGGAGAGCAGTTTGAAGCAATAAAATAAATGTGATCTATTTATAATATACTTAATTATACTTGTCTTGCAAATTACACTATTCTCTCTCTCGTAAATCAAATAGTGTAAGATCACCATGAAATCAAGCATGCCGCTACTTATCTGATTCAACACGTATAATGTTGGTAAACCAATGATATACTTAAAAGGATAAGAATTGTTTTTTTATGTATTCAGGTGTAAATTGTAAAAAAGACGCATATCCAGTTGATGGAAGTAATTGCAGATATCCTTGTTGGAGAAACGCATACTGCGACGAACTCTGCAAAAAGCGGTTTGCTGAAAGTGGATATTGTTACACATGGAGTCTATGGTGTTGGTGTATCGGTCTTCCTGATAATACACGTACACAAGTGAATGCTGGATGTGCTCCTTCTGGGAAGTAAACATAATCAACTTTTGAATAATTATAATGATCTGCCTTTTCTAATATAGAAAAATAAATTTTATAAAAACATCATTTCTGATTCTTGTTATTTATTTGGTAAATTATACTAGTTATATATACTGACAGTGGCATAGCTACGTATTCAGCGCCCTGGAACGAGTCGAATCGGTGCGCCCCTTGTTCTTCGGAAGAGGTCTCGCAAAATTTATTTTGAACATTTTATTTAAAAACATATTTAATTATTTCGATTTAAAACCTTACTTAATAACTATTTATTTGAAATTCATAGCATTTCAACAATAAGATATTTAATTTAGTAAATATTATAATATAATCGAGATAGGTTGGTAATAATGATAATAGTAATAAGCGCAGAGCCCAAACGGTTAGGTGTCGAAACCTGAAATTTGGTACACAGTTAGGATATGCCATGCCAATGCACACTAAAAAGGGATTTTTTGAAATTCTCCCGCGGGTGGAGAGAAAGGCGGTTAAGGATTACCAGGAAGAACTTAGCTCCTACTGCACGATTTTAGATGCGGTATTTTGCGGTATTTTTTCGAAATATCGAACATATTTTTAGACCCATCTAAAAGTTCTCTAATTAGTCTCGGAAGAGGGGGATCTAATTCTTGCACCCAGTGAAAACGAGTAAGATCGCCTATAATCTAATAATCGTAATCTTTGTTATCGTTACTTTTTGCCCGAGCAACGTCGGGCACATTTGCTAGTATAAATATAATAATAAAAATATAATTAAATAAGTACGGAGTACCTAATGATATTTACTGCATATTATACAAACTGTATTGACAAAATGTAAGCAAGTTTAGTTTTATAAAAAATACATAATGAATTAAAACACTTCAAAATTGTTTTCTCGCTTTTTTGTTTGCAAATCGGTCAACCACTTTCTTCAGATCAAGTTGACAAGCCATTGTTTTCTCACTTGATATAGTCAGGAGCGGATCTAGATTTTTCAAGGCATAGTGCTTATTGAAGTCCAATGAAAACCCATTTTTTGTTAATACAAATAATACTATAAATTATCATTATTACTGTATATTATTATTAATATTAACAATTTTTTACTATACGATAAATGCTCATTGTTAATGAAAAAGTATTAAAAATTTATGATAATAATTCAATTTCTGTGGGACCTTGAAACTTGGGAGCCCAGGGCTTAACCCCTATTTGTTTCTATGTAGATACGCCCATTGATATAGTAACCNGTTTATTGAAGTCCAATGGGGGTCCATTTTTTGTTAATACAGATAATACTATAAATTATCATTATTATTATATTATTAATTAATATTACGGTAACAATTTTTTACTATACGATAAATGCTCATTGTTAATGAAAAAGTATTAAAAATTTATGATAATAATTCAATTTCTGTGGGACCTTGAAACTTGGGAGCCCAGGGCTTAACCCCTATTTGTTTCTATGTAGATACGCCCATTGATATAGTAACCAGAGTTAAGACGGTGTTGTGACACGCTGCTTCTTAAATAAGCTTTAATTAATTTTAGTTTTGAAAAACTTTTTTGTCGTCGCCCGTAAAGTTAAAAAATGAGTCATGCTGCAATAATGTCAGAGAACCTATTTGAGGCTGCGGTGTGAAATAAAAGTAGTTCATCAACTTTCCTTATATAAGTAATTTCTTTTGCCTGACTATATAAACACATTTTAATCCCATCTAAGTATTTTCTATAAGCCTCGGAAAGAAAAAATTTAATTTTTGCACCCGACGAATAAGATCAGCTGTATAACTATAAAGATTATCTTACGTGAGAGTTTATCACACTGCATGAGCAATCTAACACGTTTTAAAATTTTTTATATTTCTACTGTACACAATGTTTAAAATTTTTTAAATATGTTACATTGAGCACTCAGTGTGATAAACTCTTACGTAAGATAATCCTTTGTAAATATAAACCAAATACTATCAAATAATATAGTAGAAGAGTTAGAAGTACGAAATAATCTAATAATCTTAATTTTTACTGTTGTTATTTTATGCCCAAACAAAGACGGGCTAATCTGCTAGTATGCGAATAAAATCTTTGTAATTATTCATAAATTTTTATCAAATATTAAAGAGGCAACTGAAAACATTTTCCTAGGTATACTTGCTGCATTTTGAGGAAAACTTGCTTTTTTATCTGGATTAAATTCTTGGAGAATTTCCTAGCTAATAGTATGAAATTACTTTTCAGCACTCTGTCACAATCCATGATTTCAATAATGATGAGCTTGAGAAAAACATCTCAATGTTTAAAGAAAGTATTTAATAGAAATAACAATCCACACAGATGACATGTAATTTACTTAAAATCAGTTATGTATTGACTATCTAGTTTATTGTTGATATTTGTAAAAAACAGATTGAATTTTTATCAAAAATACGTTAATTAGACGAATATTTGATTAAAACTAGACATTAGTAATTCAGTCCATAGACATTAGTAATTCAGTCCTATAAATCCGTTAAAAATAATTAAATGTTACTCCTTTATTATTAATTAATGTCTTATTATGCAATAATATAACTGTTTTTAAAAAAGATATTAAATTTCATCTAAAACTTAATATTAAATTTAACTTATCAAATTTTTTTACGAATTTGCACTCAAATGGATTATATTGTAAAGGAAAAAATATTAAATAAGAAATATTTAAAAATTTTAGATTATAATATTCAAATAATGAAATTGAAATTAGATGCTTCTTAAGATATTGATATTATAGATTTACTATTTTGCTATTGAAGGCTACCCATGCAGTTTCTGTCACGTGACAGCAATAGACACGTGTAGTCGATCGTTTACGTAATATCTAATCGAAAATATTTTCTCTGTTAATGAAATCTGTTTTTGATTCACTCACGGGCCTTAGATATTAACGATTTATTAATAAATTAATGGCTAAAACGTTAATCGAATTAACGTTATTTTGATAATGAATTTTTCGACTATTTTACATCTTTTAATGTTGAATATAGCAAATAATAACAATAATAAATTTGTAAACTAATAAATCTGAAGTTTAAGGTTAATTTTTACTTGTCTGGCTTCATTATATATAAGAGGAAAGGTATCGGAGATTCGTTTAAAAATGACAAACCAAGATTTTTACAGTTTTGGACTCTGGGAACTTAAAATGTCCAGAAATGTAAAAAGCAATTCTGTTTTTTTCTGTACATGTGGATGTTAGTGTGTATGCAGCATGATTTTTTTTACCATGTTTGAAGCTCGATTCTTGTGCTTTTTGTCTAAAATTTTTGAAATATTTCTGGGTGTTTTGTTTCTTAAAGGGAGTAATGTGATAAAAAGTTGAGTGGGTTTGGAGATAATAGGGGAGAGTGAATTTCCAGTAGGGTTGCACTTAATGGCAATTTTACTCGTTATTAGCATTTAAAATATTTTCAGAAAACTAATCCCTATTTTTAAAATTAAGCTATTTTCCATTTTATAATAAGTGTAAATATAAAGTAGTCTATTATTTTTAATAAGAACAGATGATGCAACAAAAATATTAAATGTTGCTGGGAAAGTTAAGCAAGTGGTTTCTGGTTGCTTTTAGCTGCAGAATTTTTGCTTCAGTCTAGTCTTCTAAATTTTACTTGTTTATTTAATTTTCTAATAGATATTTCATTTTACAGTAAATACGATTTATTTGTAGTTTTTGCATATAGTATTTTCAAGTCGTTACTCTTAATTTTATAATCTTACTTTATAAAATTAAATTATTTGAAAATGTTATCACAAAATATAAAAAATCATACTTTCTGAAAATATATTTTCTCATTCAACCTGACAATATATTGTCAATCTGATGTAACCCTGTTGATTTTTCATCTGCTGATATATCGGCAGGCATTTTCAATTTGAGTTTTATTGAAAACGACATTGCTCACAGATGTGCCACTTTTCTCGATTGTTTACTTTTTTCTTTTATGTACATCAGTGTTTTTCAACCTGTGGGTAGCAACCCCCACAGTAGTCGCAAAGTTTTACACAGGGGGTCGCAGGTAAAAGAAAAAGACAAGTGTTTGTAGGTCCTACACTACAAAAAAAAAACTACAATCTCAGTGAGAAGGCTGTGCCTGTTTATTCTACAGTACAATTGATTTTTTGATCGATATTTAGATCTCAATAGAAAGAAACTTAAATATGTAGTTTTTAAAATCACAGACATAGTTTTAATACGGCTTTGAAAGGTCGCAAGAATTTTTTAACTAGTAAAGAGGTCGTTTACTCAGGAAGGTTGGAAAACACTGATTTACTTATTATATATGTTAGCTGGCATGTATTTTAAAATAAATCGTCACTTTCGATTTTTCAGGAAACTTCTGTGAAATAGTTAGGCTTTTCTAGAAAGCAAGCACAATCTTCTGTTTTTGTTAGTTAATTTTTCGTGCAAGTTTTCTTTAGATTATAAACAGTAGCGTGCCGTGACATTTGATAATAGGGAAGCTGTATTTCTCTAAGAAGTCGACATCTAGGGGCAATCAGTCAATTGCGCGTCAGTGATTGTCTCGAGTCCATTCGTATCGTTTATTCGATAGGCCAGTAAAAACTGTAGATTACTCTAAATGTATTTTTAATATCACAATTACATTCCTAATCGCTAGCCACGATATAAGGGCTACAATTATGAATAAAATAANGAATATTTTGCCTGCGAAAATTACTTGGATATTATTTTTCTAAAAATATCGTGGAATTAAGGTAGGTTGATACAGAAGCTATATATCGCACGCGTACTGTATGTGAGCTTCAAAATAAATAAATAAAAATAGATTTTATGATAAGATCAGCAGATTAATTGTATCGTGTACAATATTTTACACCCCAAGGAAAATACTGTAGGTCTACGGTAAAATCAATTTCGTTTTCCCACGGTTAAACTTCGCTGCTAATTGCTGTTGTGATAACTTTAATACGATCTTCTAACGAGAGCACATTTCTTTTGTTTTTCGGAACAAAAGAAATTCATTTGTTTTCCAACAAAGAA